TTAAATTTTAATAATAATATTATAAAATTAAAATTTAATCCACACATTCAACCCCACCCACCCCCATTTCGTTCAAAACCCAATTTCATTTCTAACCCTAACTTCTCTCTCTCTCTCTCTCTCTCTCTCTCTCTCCCCACCCCACCCGCTCTCTATATTTCGGTGTCGAGCTGTCTGTGAAGCTACCGATGGAGTATTAGCCACCACCGCCAAAGGTCGCTCCCGCTGGAGCCGCAAGAGGTGGTGGTGTAGCGGAGGCGGAGGGTTTTTTGTTGTGGTGGATTAGGCGCCGAGTTTTTGTTGTGGGGGTGGTGGTGTTGCAGAGGCGGCGGCGATTTTGTTGGTGGTGTGGGCAACGATAATATGGTTCTGGTGCAAACGCAGCGTCGTGATGTTGCGGTGGTGGTTCTGCTGCAAATTTTTATTGGCGATGGATGTGGTGGTAGTTTTCTTTTTTCTCTTTCTATTAAATTTTTGGCTCAATGTCTGTGCGCATGGGAATATTTGTTTATAATTGAGGTTGTTCAAGCAAATATAAAATCTTAATACTCATGTCACTAATTCATCAATCATCCTTAAAAAAATCATTAATTCCAAATAATGGCCATGTCAAATGATGAAACAACTACTAACTTCGTTGACTAACTAAAAACTTTTAACTTATAATCAATAATATAAAAAATTAAAACTCCCCAATTTCTTGGTCTTCTTCGTTTAACTGTGGCAATGACCTTTCCATTGGCTATCCATTTTGGCCACAAAATCAAGAACTTGAATTCTGCGGCTACCCGGGTTTTGGCCTCTCGTGCAATAGCCATAGCCATGAACTTATTCTTAACCTCCACGAAAACCTCTATCGCGTAAAATCCTTGGATGAATCTCAAAAAACTCTCACAGTTACCTATATTGAAGTAAATAACATGACAATTTGTCCTGTGGCAACGCACGATTTTGCATCAAACTCGAGTACTTTGTTTCCTAAGGATAACAAGATGGTACATTTTTTCTACAACTGCACAGTGTATCCTCCATCAGTTCCTGATATAAAATGCCTGCAGCGCGGTGCGAAGCATTCTTACGCGTTCCTCAATGGATCGGTTCCTGAATTCAATTGGAATCAGTATTGTGATGATATAGTGAGTGTCCCTGTGATGGAGAAGGGTGTTGAGGTTGTTCTGGGAAAAGATTATGGAGAAGTTCTGAAATTAGGGTTTATGTTGACATGGAAAGCAGACAGTGCATGTGAATCTTGTGAGGACAGTGGAGGATTTTGTGGGTATAGGGATAGTATTGATTATAATCAGACATTCTTCTGCTTGTGTAATGAGAGAAATCATGCAAATAATTGCTATGATCAAACAGGTAAATTTTTTTGTCTTTTGATTTGTTCACTAAGGTGGACTAGGTAATATTGTTTCGTCGTCCACTTCTTTAAATTGTACGAACTAAAGAACTAAATATCTTCTTT